GCAGGCTGTTTTAAAACTCATATGTTTGGGGGGAAAACCCCACACAGCACAGGAGCTGTGGACGGGCATGGAACAAAAGACCGAGGAGTGGTCGTTGCCACTGAGCCTCAAGCCCGGCCTGGTGGTGTGCGATAATTGGCGAAATCTCGTAGCAGTTCCGGGCCTAGCCGGTTTGACGAACATCCCTTCCCTGGCGCATGTGCAGAAATTGCTGAAATACTACCCAGATATATCAGAGCTGCTGCAGAAAGTGTGGGCAGTCTGTGCGTGCTTTCGGTGTTCTCGCCCTGCTGCTGCTCGCCTGTCTGCGCTGCAGTGTAACTTCGGCCTTCCCGCTCACCGCCTCATATGCGACGTGCCCACAAGGTGGAACTCCATCTTGCACATGCTGGAGAGACTGTGCGAGCAGCAGCAGGCGATAGTGGAGTTTCAGCTGCAGCACGCACGGGTCAGTCGCTCTGCGGAACAGCACCACTTCACCACCAATGAGTGGGCCTCCATGCGAGACCTGTGTGCCATGTTGCGCTGTTTCAAGTACTCCACCAACATGGCCAGTGCTGATGACACCGTTCTCAGCCTTACTATCCCGCTTCTATGTCTGCTTGAAAAAACGCTTCGGGCAATGATGGAAGAGGATGTGGCACAGAAGGAAGAGGAGGAGGAGGAGGAGGAAGAGGGGTCATTTCCACGGTTATCAGGCCAGTCATTCACCAGTGGCTCGGAGGGTGGGTTCCTGCACCAGCATAGGCCAGGTACACTCTGTAGAATGAGGAGGAGGACGACGATGAGGAGGAGGAGCCGTGTTCACAGCAGTATGGCACCCAACGCAGCTCATGGGCGTCACTGGAGCGTGGCTGGGGGGATACGGAGGACACAGATGATACACCTCCCACAGAGGACAGCTTGCCTCTGGGCAGCCTGGCACACATGAGCGACTACATGCTGCAGTGCCTGCGCAATGACTGCCGAGTTGCCCACATTCTAACTTGTGCTGATTACTGGGTGGCCACCCTGCTGGATCCCCATTACAAGGACAACATGCCGTCCTTAATTCCCTCACTGGAGCGTGATCGGAAGATGCGCGACTACAAGCGCGTGCTGGTAGACGTGCTGCTGATGGCATTCCCAACTGACACCAAGGGCTCAGTGGAAGCACAAGGCGAAGGCAGAGGAGGAGGAAGAGGTCGACAACGCAGCTGGGGCACCGCCAGCACCTCAGAAGGCAGGGTTAGCATGGCCAAAATGTGGAAAAGCTTTGTCAGCACGCCACAACAACCAGCACCACCAGCTGATATGGAATGTCTTAGCAGGAAGCAGCATTTCAGCAACATGGTGGAACAGTACGTGTGCACTCGCCTACATGTACTGACTGATGGGTCTGCCCCATTCAACTTCTGGGTCTCCAAATTGGGCACATGGCCTGAGCTTGCCCTTTCTGCCTTGGAGGTGCTGGCCTGCCCTGCAGCCAGTGTATTGTCTGAACGTGTGCTATCACAGACAAGTGCAGCCGCCTGTCCACAGCCAACATGGACAAGCTCACGTTTATTAAAATAAACCAGGCATGGATCCCACCAGACTTGTCTGTACATTGTGCAGAATAGTCATTTATACCGGCCTCACCCAGCCATTGTTATACTCAAGTGCACTTATTCTTTGTTTTGTTTTTTTATATGTCCCAATATTTTGGGGGCTACCCCAATTACAAAAAAAACAGTGTTGGCTACCTCCTCCACCTCCACCGCCGCTTCCAACTACACCGCCACGGTCACCGCCTTTTCAACCTCCTATACCACATCCACCTCCTCCTCCTAGTTCAAGATTATTATTTTTAATTTTTATGTATTTTATGTTATTTTAAGTTATTTCCCTATCCACATTTGTTTGCAGGGCACTTGTCCTACTCTTATCCCCATTTTACTTCCTTTTGCAGCCCTCTAGCCCTTTCCAGGACTTTTTAAGAGCCATTTTAGTGCCCAAAGGTTCGGGTCCCCATTGACTTCAATGGGGTTCGGGGTCAAGCTCGAGTCCCGAACGCAAATTTTTTGACGAAGTTCGGCCGAACCCAGCGAACCAAAACATCTAGGTGTCCGTTCAACTCTAATAAAAAATATTTTACAGCATTTAACACCTGCCAGAACAGTAATCTGTGAATATATATAAATAAATCTGCACTTGGCTGGCTGAAATTGGGGGACAATGTATCACCCTCCACAATAAATTTATAGAATTGCTTCGAATTCAGTCATTATTGTATCTATTCCATTGTGAGACTGTTGGATAAAATCAAAGTCCTCTTTTAATTCCTCAGAATAAAATCTGTTTATTTAGCGTATTATTCATGTTTCCTGTGGCTGGACACTGCATTTCCTGTTCACAAACAAAACAATAGGACGTGTTTATAATGCTGTTAATGAACATTTAAAAGTATCGGGGGGGACATGCCTTCCGGTTAGCGTGAATTAATGGATTAAAGTGAGTAAAAGGATTGTACAATCAGTGTATGTTGCGCTGACCGTCTAATGTAATGCTACGAATTAGCCAGGACATTGAATAAACCAGCTCTAAATTACATTTTCTTTAGACAATGTGCACAGGGGTATTACTGGGATAACAGCGAGAGGGAATTATTACCTTCAACTATATAATTTATGATAGTGCCTCTTCAATACACCATATTTTAAGTTAACTATACAGCACGGTGTGGGGGGTTTCTGTGGGTACAGGGTTAATACAGCATGGATCGGGTCCAATACCTTTTATAACTATAGGCTCATGTCATTCTCTGAATTCAATCAGTTTGTGTTACAATGTGATTAATAGAACACAGGGTTTTGGGGCCCAGGTTTAGGGCTGGTATCGAAGAGGCTTCAGTCAGTTAGTGTGGGCAGGAGTTTAAATGGAACTTGCCAGAGCGATGCACTAAGCGGGGAATTACCAGGAAATAGTGAATATAGATAGATTTTAGGCCGGGGTAACCGATTCGGTTTGGCTATTTTAGACTAACACTGGAAACGGACAGAATTTGTGATGATTGACACGGAGCGCATCTGCCTGACATAGGATTAATTCATTCATTCACCACTCAATGAGCTGCAATGAATTAAAAAGCAAACAATGCAAACTGCACGCCAAAATAGCCAAAATGCTAAATAAATTGGATAAAGGTTTCCAAATCAGCTGTCCTGGGCGACATTTTCCAATGCGTTATAACAGAACGAAACGTCTTTACAGTAAGAAAGAGATTGTTAGATGTGAGTAAATATCTAAATGTTTATTTCGGAACACTGAGCTCTATAGACCCAGGAATTGAAAAACTACAAATCCCACAATGCAGCCAGACCCAGGAATTGAAGAACTACAAATCCCACAATGCAGCCAGACCCAGGAATTGAAGAACTACAAATCCCACAATGCAGCCAGACCCAGGAATTGAAGAACTACAAATCCCACAATGCAGCCAGACCCAGGAATTGAAGAACTACAAATCCCACAATGCAGCCAGACCCAGGAATTGAAGAACTACAAATCCCACAATGCAGCCAGACCCAGGAATTGAAGAACTACAAATCCCACAATGCAGCCAGACCCAGGAATTGAAGAACTACAAATCCCACAATGCAGCCAGACCCAGGAATTGAAGAACTACAAATCCCACAATGCAGCCAGACCCAGGAATTGAAGAACTACAAATCCCACAATGCAGCCAGACCCAGGAATTGAAAACCTACAAATCCCACAATGCAGCCAGACCCAGGAATTGAAAACCTACAAATCCCACAATGCAGCCAGACCCAGGAATTGAAAAACTACAAATCCCACAATGCAGCCAGACCCAGGAATTGAAAAACTACAAATCCCACAATGCTTTTCCAGGCATTCCACTTAAATGACTGCGTCACCCTGTTAATTGGGGCGGTGTGTCCCACCCTGCTAGTGTACACCCCCCTCCGCCCCATTACTTAACTATGAAACTGATGCCAAAATGGTCAATACTGAAAACCTTTTAAAATGTGCCTGTTTTGGTGTAGTTTCCTATTCCCTAGTCATTTCCACATTTTAGTAAATAAGCCCTGCAGTAACACAGTGTTTATACAGTAACACACACAGTCCATATGGTGTCCAGACACAGGGCAGACGGATGATGTCAGTGATGAGGGCACACACAGCCCCAGACACTCGTTAGTACTGTGTGACAGCTCAGAGGGAGGGGGCATGGCTGCACACACTGAATTAGAGAGGCTACATGGGATTTTGGAAGAGGAGGTTGCACTCAGGGACAGTTAGGACAGGGTTCTATTTTATGCACATGGCAAACCACCTTCCATTCACATAAAGCAACCCACATTACATTTATTCACTGAGACACTACAACATCCTACATGCCATTCACACACACACACACACACAGCAACCCGGATTTGCAGATTTGCATTCCCACACACATAGCCACCTGCTTGCCATTCACACACACAGTAACTTGCCTACTATTCACATAGAAACCTGCTTTACATTCCCATACACGCAGCAACTTGCCTGCCATTCACATAGCAATCCGCTTTGCATTGACACACATACAGTAACCTGCCTACCATTCACAAAGTAATCCGCTTTGCAGTCACACACACAGCAACTTGTCTGTGGTTTTGGATTGACACAAACATAGCAACCCGCTTTAAATTCTCACACACACACACAGCAATCCACTTTGCATTCACACACACAGCAACCTGCCTGCCATTCATAAATAGCAACCTACTTTTCATTCACACACACACACACACAGCAACCTATTTTGCATTCACACACACACACAGCAACCTACCTGCCATTCATAAATAGCAACCTACTTTTCATTCACACACACACACACAGCAACCCGCTTCGCACGCACAAGTAGTAACCTGCCTGCCATTCATACACTCAGTAGCCTTCCTACCATTCACACACAGCAGTATGCTTTGTTGCATTCATACACACAGCAAGCTGTCTTTTAGTCTCACACCTCTTCAACCCATTCCCCCACACACACACACACACACACACACACACACTTCCCCTTCGATTCCCACACACAGAGAAAATCCACACCCTCATCAACAGACCAAAATTTCCACCTATTGAACTACACACACAATCTGTCAGTCTTATACACACACAGCAGCAGATAGCTACCCACTCTCCGTTCACAAATACAGCTACTCCCCATTCACATACTTACAGTTACATGCTCTCACACACATAGAGCTGTCTAATCCACATTCAAACACATCCAGCTATCTGCTCCCCATTCACACACATCCAGCTATCTGCTCCCCATTCACACACCCATCTGCTTCCCATTCACATACTTAAAGTTACATGCTCTCACACACATACAGCTACCTAATCCACATTCAAACACATACAGCTATCTGCTCCCTGTGACAGACAGCCTGGCACCCCAAATGGGTGCCTGCACCAATCGCTGCTTCCTTAGTGCTTACCGAGTACCACAAGCACCGCACCAAACACCATCAACACTGTAGTCCCCACTTCCAGCGTTACAGCTTGGCTGGGGTCTCTCCGTCCTCCACCCACCCTGGACCAGGATCCAGCTTCCAGTGGGCAGACCTCTCCTACTCCAGAGAGCGTAGCAGGCTGCTCTTACAAGAGCAAGTGATTGTAACCAAGAGGTATAGCAATCCCCTGGGTAGATACAGCCGTCCCCTCCCTCCCACATATGAAATGAGGCTCTATGTTAAGGGTAAAACAGGAACTACTTTAATGGGAGCCACAACTAGCCTTATATGCAAGTCCCCATGCAAGGTGCACTCCCCCCTGGACCTGAGAGTAAACCACGGTATAAACAATTACACAACCACATTGGCTGTCAGATCCAGGACACTCCCATACATAATCAGATAATCCCTCCTCTGTGCCTGGGAGATAACTGAGTCATGGACTGTACTAACCCAATTATCTCCAGGCAGAAAAACACACATTTTTATAAAACCCCCAAAATACCTTTAAACATACAAAACCTCCACAAAAGTTACATCCCCTGATTTGGGTGACGAACATGTCCAAAATCACCCAGATCAGTTCAGGAATTTCCTGGAAGTCATTTATTTGACCGACCGCACGCGTGGTCCCATGCCCAAAACAGTTCCAGAGAATCAGGGCTTGCGGTCGGTCTAGTTCGGTAGTTTGGAAAACGAACAAACTACCGAACATAGTCAATGTTCTTACCCTGGAGCTTGTACCCCTCATCCAGACGAATGATTTCACCAAACAGTGCCCTTCTAAATTGTATAGAACTGAACGCAGGTGATGATGGAAGTCCAGCGGTGTTCGGGAGTTTTTGTGTCCGATTTTAGTTCCATGAGATTCATGCCCTAACACCGCTGCCTGCGTTCATGCGAACAAGATGGCCGCCCCCTCATGGTTGTCCATAGGAATTGCAGCCACCCAGACAAACAACTAGAGCACTGCGGTGAGAACCGTTCCAAGGTGTTAATAGGGGCTAACAAGCTCCAGGGTGGTCTCTGGTTCGTGCAGTTGTTCGGTAGTCGAACAGTATAATGTTAGAATAGGAGGGGAATACAATCTACCAAACAAAAAGGCAAAACAGGCCCCTCCAAGTACCAGTGGCGAGGTTACTTTCACCACACTCTCCATTCACACACATACAGCTACCTGCTCCCCATTCTCACACAGATACAGCTATCTGCTCCCCATTCTCACACAGATACAGCTATCTGCTCCCCATTCTCACATGCATATACAGCTATCTGCTCCCCATTCTCACATGCATATACAGCTATCTGCTCCCCATTCTCACACAGATACAGCTATCTGCTCCCCATTCTCACATGCATATACAGCTATCTGCTCCCCATTCTCACACAGATACAGCTATCTGCTCCCCATTCTCACACAGATACAGCTATCTGCTCCCCATTCTCACACACATATACAGCTATCTGCTCCCCATTCTCATTCATACATACATACAGCTATCTGCTCCCACGTTTATCTCGATCTAACAGCTGATTCTGTTTCCTGTCTCCTCCTCCCCTGACTCAGTCCTGCACCTGATCCTAGCTCCCCCCATGACACATTCCCTCCCTCCCCATGTTATGTTATTCCCTCCCAAGTCACACACTCCCACACACACAGCTTCCTCCTGGGGATTTAACAGCTCACACTGCAGGATACATTGTATATATTACACACACACACACACAGCCTATATTACACACATTGATATTGTATATTAAATATACAGCCCATATTACACTCAGTACACATAGTGTATACACAGTCCATATTACACCCAGTACACACAGTGTACACAGTCCATATTACACCCAGTACACACAGTCCATATTCCAGATTTGTTTCTGATGGAGTCTGGAGAGGTTCGCTATTGCTCCAGGTTTCCTTACCTGTTCCTGAAATTCACTCTCATCATATACAGCACCATCTTCTGGGTGAGTACACATTGGGGGTTCTGTGGGGTACGCTGTGTTCTGTGCATATTGTGGGGTACGACATATTCCAGGCATATTGTGGGACGCACCGTATTCTGGGCATATTGTGGGATACACCGTATTCTGGTCATATGGTGGGGTATTAATAATAATAATAATAATAATATTATTATTTATATGGCACCAGCAAATTCTGCAGCGCTGTACAATGGGGTACACTGTATTCTGTTGGGCACAGTGTGCATATTGTGGGGTACACTATATGTAATGTGGGGTAAACCATTTTCAGTGAGACAAAATACGCATAATGTTGGGTACGTTTTGGTATGTTGAAAGGGATGTGATAATGTTGTGTGGGTTCTAGGTACTTTCTGATTCATAAAACCCTGTTTGTGGGTTTGAATGTAATGTCTTATAGTGCGTTCTCTCATTTGTAAAATATGAAAAGTAGTTGATTGATGGAATGTCTTCCCTGTAGAGATGGTAGCAACAAATAAGGGCTCCAATGTCTCTGAAAGGTCCGTGTGTGTCATTTTCTAACAAATCTATAGAAAGTATGCAAAATATGATATCTTCCGAAAGAGCCAGAAATACCAGTAAAACGGGCTGAGCCAGTCACCAAATTCTAACCGGCTTCATTTCTTACATCATGTTATCTCCTACCAACCCTGCTGGAGGGCTGTGCTATGAATCCACTGTTTTTTCCATCATGTCAATCCCTGTTACAGTAAAGGTTTGTTTTTCCATGTCACCCCTTATCATCACCTCGCTTAGGTGTGTCTTATCAGTTGTGTATTTATTATAGCTTTTTGTAGTACAAACACGAACCTTCCCTTATATAATCCAGCAACCTGTTTGATAAAACCTGCTTGTAGAGAGAGGAGCTATGTTTGGTTTAACATCAGACATTGCAATGTTTTAACCCTTCACATTGAGCACTGTGTCCTAGACTTGCAGGCTTCTTTTGGGCCAAACTGCAGTACATCCAAATTTGGCTGAATCAGGTGATCAGTTAAAGGGACACTGTAAGCACCCAGAATACTCAGCCTGATTGAAGTGGTCTGGGTGCAGCGTCCCATCATCCTTAACCCTGAGCATAAACTGCAATAATTACCTGCTAGGGTTAACTCCTCCTCTAGTGGCTATCTACCAGACAGCCATTAGAAGGACTTCCGGATTATTAGCCAACTTTTATTCGCCTAAATGATGGTGGACGTCCTCATGCTATGCATAGGAAAGCATTGTATGGTGAAATCTTAATGCGAGTTTGCCATTGCCACGCATGCATATTAGGTCTCCCCCGGGGGGTGGGGGGGCTTGTTTTTCTGGCACTTTAGTTTCCCAAACTCTGAGCCCAAATTTACCAGAATCATGAACCAACAGAACTGTGCATCCTGAACATGTTAAGGGGGTCACGATTCAGAGTTACGCCTGTAGAGCCAAAAAAAAGAGATGATTGATGGCATAGCGGCAGAAATAGTGATTTTCTTCACAGATCAAATGAGAAGAATAAAGTGGGGGGGGGGAAATGAAACCGTAATATATATAGATAGAGATTTTTTTACTACTCTAACTCCTTTTTTCCCCTCTGTTGGTTTGGTTTTCTCACTCGATTTGTGACCCAAATGGTGGGAAAATGCTCCTATCGGTGTACAGCAGAAACTTTATATTGTGTTCAGTTTGCAGCACCACTGGCCAATTTTTGCACCTTTTCTATTCTCCAGATTCAGTTTCTGATTCTAAATCTCAGTTACCAAATTCTGCAGAGCCGAACAAACAATTGGCTAAAATTCTGGTGTTCTGAAAATTTTTCAGTTTCCGGGGGAAAAAAGGTTTGTCTTTCCATTCAAAAAATATTTTTTTTTTTTGTCGTAAACAAGACTGGGGGAGGGCACAGTCAGGAAATGTCCTATCTGTACAGAACCATCACAACATGATCAAGTAGGCTCGGGATAACCTACTGTGATAATGTAAAGATCAAGGACTCCCTCACAGCCCTCCCTGAGGGGCTGAACAGGTCCTGGCATGTGAGGGACCCAGTGAAATTCCTGGAGGGTGAGGGGACAGGTAGCAGTAAAACAGGAGGTTTATAATCAATATCTTAATGTGTGATAGTGTATTACAGTATGCATACCGGATATGTCGCCCCGCAGTGTGGAATTCTGTATGGCACGTGGCCCACTGTTCTGAAAGGATGGACAGCCACATTATAAAGGAACAGCTCCTGCCAGTAATGTCCCATCTCAACTGGTGGTAGGAAGGAGTCAGCCCTGGGCCTTCCATCCTGCGTGTCTGTCCACTCCTCTGTCCGTGAGAGGCACCATCACCCTATGACAGGTAGAGACCCGTCTTGTGCTCTTCAGAAATGGTTTTCTCCTATTTGGAGGTATTTTCTGACAGTCTAGGAGTTTGTGTTTGCGTTTGTCTGGCCAGCTTGTGTGTTTGGTTATTACTAAATAAACAGTAACCGCACTCCTCCAACTGAGCTAAATGGGTGCAAAACCAAACTAGGGACCAGCACTACCTCCGTGCATTAGGCAGCCTAAAAAAAGGAAAAAGGTTTGGGCACACCAGAGCTCATAAACAGGCACATTTATTGGGACAAAATATACTGCACAATGATTGAACCCAGCAGTGGGTCTGTGGCAAAGATCTACATCTTGGTTGAAACGTTGCTCTGTACATTTTGTCCAAATAAATGTGCCTGTTTATGAGCTGTGGTGTGCTGCACTTTTAGTTCTGACCAGCCTAGGTGTTTGGTTGTGTCTGGTCCTGCCAGCCTGGGTGGTTGCCTTTTCCAATATGGGTGTTTGATCATTGCCTAATCACCGCTATCTTAGTCGTTGGCATATCCATGCCTAGCTTGCGCAAGAAGCTGGCTGTCGCCGCGGCCAGGCCTGCGCGAGAAGCTAGCTGTTGCCCCCATAAGGCCTGCTCAGTCACTGTTTGTTGCAGTGTGTTCAGTACAGGCTGTTTGTTCCAGAATTCTGGGTGTTTGCTCGTTCTTGGTCGGGCTGTCACCTGTAGCAATCAGTTCAGTTCCTGGGGACGGAAGGTGTGGTCCTTTCTATTACAAAGGGCCATACCTGGGAGCATGCTAAATGAGCCTTGCCCCAGACGCTTCAATGCTTTAACCCTTTAATTGCTCCATGACTGAGCGTTTTTGCTGTAACTCAAAATACAAACTATACTAATGCCAGCCTCATGTACAGTCTAACATTAATCAGACACAGAGGAGTGCAGTTAGGAAGGTTTATCAGTATATAATGAGGGCGTTTCAGCTCTTCCGTAGAATTCATCCTGTGCGCTGTAGCTCGTTCAATGTGTCTTGTAATGCTTAAACAGGAACTGTCACTTGTCTGGAATTACCATCATTGATTTAAACATTCAAAAAATAACTTGTATCAACCTTCTTCAGGATCAAACGTTTTTATTTAAAATGAATATTGGCAAATATTAAAATCATAATGCAATTCAGAAAAGGCACAGGCAAGGCCCACAATGCAAATGAAGAGAAGAAATGGAACATTGTTTCGTTTCTCCTTCTCTCTGTATGCTCTTTCTCTGTAGGCGGAGTGCTAGGTGCAATGGGCGGAGTTTATAACAATGATTGACAGGGAGCGAAGGTGGAGGTGCCCAGTTACAGGATAAAGAGGTATGGGTTTCTAGATTTAATTTACTTTTCCGTGCCTTACCCCATAAATATTAGTTAAATATAGAGGTAAGTAAACCATATTAAAAATCCTTGCATAAACTGCACACAAGTGGATGTACGAGGGAGCTCTGTAGAAAGGGGTCTGCCGCCCACCAGGAACAATAAAATCTAGAAATCCAAAGGCGGCATAACGTGGGGTGAAAGGAAGAAACTAGTGTTTATTGTGGATTAATTAAGACGAACAGGACACAATGGTTTGGCTGTGAGGATTTATGGTACATGATTAAAGGGACACTATAGTCACCTAAGCAACTTTAGCTTAATGAAGCAGTTTTGGTGTATAGAACATGCCCCTGCAGCCTCACTGCTCAATCCTCTGCCATTTAGGAGTTAAATCCCTTTGTTTATGAACCCTAGTCACACCTCCCTGCATGTGACTTGCACAGCCTTCCATAAACACTTCCTGTAAAGAGAGCCCTATTTAGGCTTTCTTTATTGCAAGTTCTGTTTAATTAAGATTTTCTTATCCCCTGCTATGTTAATAGCTTGCTAGACCCTGCAAGAGCCTCCTGTATGTGATTAAAGTTCAATTTAGAGATTGAGATACAATTATTTAAGGTAAATTACATCTGTCTGAAAGTGAAACCCAGTTTTTTTTTTTTCATGCAGGCTCTGTCAATCATAGCCAGGGGAGGTGTGGCTAGGGCTGCATAAACAGAAACAAAGTGATTTAACTCCTAAATGGCAGTGAATTGAGCAGTGACATTGCAGGGGAATGATCTATACACTAAAACTGCTTTACTTAGTAAAGTAATTTAGGTGACTGTAGTGTTCCTTTAATGTCTCACGTGTGAAGTGACAGTTTCCCTTTAATGGGAGGGATCCTTCTTTTCCTCTGTGTAACCCTATACATTCTGTTCTAAGTTACAGATAAAGTTCTAAAAACGAGTCTCTACATCCTCTAAAGAACTGATCTGTAAACCACTTATTTTCGTATTTAGATTGACACGTGCAATGTATCATTGCTGTAAACAGCTACAAAGCTCTGACATAAATATATTACATCGCAAGGTGTTTAATAAAAATTGCCAAACTATCAAAGAATAACGATCCCATAAACCAACCTAGTCTGTGATAACCACGTCAGAAGCAGTGAGTCCATGGGACTGCGCGGTACAACAAATTGCAGAAAATGGGAGAGAATCTATTGCTGCTACCAGCCTACTATAGCTCTTGGATTTTGCAGTGTTGGCTGCTTCACAGCAGAGGCCGCTAGGATGGGTGCCTAAGGCGCCCACGTATAGCACAGAAGAAGGGGATTGGTTTATAACTGTGTCAAGGATCATGGAATCCTTGGGCCATACCATCCAGCACCATCTGATCACTTACATTGTTTCCTGAAGTCTCTGGAACTAACTGGAGGACTTTCCTACATGTTAGAATTCTAGGCTGGTAGCAGCAATAGATTCTCTCCCATTTTCTGCAATTTGTTGTACCGCGCAGTCCCATGGACTCACTGCTTCTGACGTGGTTATCACAGACTAGGTTGGTTTATGGGATCGTTATTCTTTGATAGTTTGGCAATTTTTATTAAACACCTTGCGATGTAATATATTTATGTCAGAGCTTTGTAGCTGTTTACAGCAATGATACATTGCACGTGTCAATCTAAATACGAAAATAAGTGGTTTACAGATCAGTTCTTTAGAGGATGTAGAGACTCGTTTTTAGAACTTTATCTGTAACTTAGAACAGAATGTATAGGGTTACACAGAGGAAAAGAAGGATCCCTCCCATTAAAGGGAAACTGTCACTTCACACGTGAGACATTAAAGGAACACTACAGTCACCTAAATTACTTTACTAAGTAAAGCAGTTTTAGTGTATAGATCATTCCCCTGCAATGTCACTGCTCAATTCACTGCCATTTAGGAGTTAAATCACTTTGTTTCTGTTTATGCAGCCCTAGCCACACCTCCCCTGGCTATGATTGACAGAGCCTGCATGAAAAAAAAAAAACTGGGTTTCACTTTCAGACAGATGTAATTTACCTTAAATAATTGTATCTCAATCTCTAAATTGAACTTTAATCACATACAGGAGGCTCTTGCAAGGTCTAGCAAGCTATTAACATAGCAGGGGATAAGAAAATCTTATAATGAAGTAACAAATATTCTCCGAAGTTTTTGTCCTATAATCTAACCTAATGGTTCCCAAACCTTTTAGGTTCAAGGCACCCTTTATATTTCAATATTTTTCCAAGGTACCCCAAGTCAAAACAAATTCTAGGTAGTATGTATGTACAGCGCTGCGGCATATACTGGCCCCCTGTTCAGCAGAAATGTTTCCCGGTCAGGGGCGGATCCAGAACCTAATCTCGGGAAGGGCACTGATAGATTATTTAAAGAAACAATCTAGGCACAATAACCACTACAGCATTCTGGGCCTGCGGGGGTAGGAGGGCAGATAAATATATATTTTAACTTTCTTTTTATTTTTTATTAAAAAAATAATTATCATATCCCTCCCCCCCCTTCTTATCTTTGCCTGGGAGGTTGGACAGTACAAGGCAATCTATTGTGGTCCGGTGGTGAAAGTGATCTCTGACAGCTCCTGAGGCTAGAGTTCACTCTCACGAGATTTGGAGCATTGCCATGGTAACCGTGGCAACGGTCTGAGCTTGCAAGATGAGAACCCGGTGGAGCTGCAGGTTAGAGCTCCTTCATAGAGCTTGTGGGTCTCTCCTCCAGGTCAGTCCCATGATACCCTGTAATAGTGTATGGGTCATTCTCTGCAGGTTAGTCCCATGATATCCTGTAACAGTGTGTGGGTATAGGGCATTCTCTCCAGGTCAGTCCCATGATACCCTGTAACAGTGTGTGGGTATAGGGCATTCTCTCCAGGTCAGTCCCATGATACCCTGTAACAGTGTGTGGGTATAGGGCATTCTCTCCAGGTCAGTCCCATGATGCCATATAACAGTGTGTGGGTATAGGGCATTCTCTCCAGGTCAGTTCCATGATGCCATGTAACAGTGTGTGGGTATAGGGCATTCTCTCCAGGTCAGTTCCATGATGCCATGTAACAGTGTGTGGGTATAGGGCATTCTCTCCAGGTCAGTCCCATGATGCCCTGTAACAGTGTGTGGGTATAGGGCATTCTCTCCAGGTCAGTTCCATGATGCCCTGTAACAGTGTGTGGTATAGGGCATTCTCTCCAGGTTAGTCCCATAATGCCCTGTAACAGTGTGTGGGTCATTCTCTCACGGTCAGTCCCATGATACCCTGTAACAGTGTGTGGGTATAGGGCATTCTCTCCAGGTCAGTTCCATGATGCTCTGTAACAGTGTGTGGGTATAGGGCATTCTCTCTAGGTCAGTCCCATGATGCCATGTAATAGTGTGTGGGTATAGGGCATTCTCTCTAGGTCAGTCCCATGATGCCATGTAATAGTGTGTGGGTATAGGGCATTCTCTCCAGGTCAGTCCCATGATGCGCTGTAACAGTGTGTGGGTATAGGGCATTCTCTCCAGGTCAGTCTCATGATGCCCTGTAACAGTGTGTGGGTATAGGGCATTATCTCCAGGTCAGTCCCATGATGCCCTGTAATAGTGTGTGGGTATAGGGCATTCTCTCCAGGTCAGTCCCATGATGCCCTGTAACAGTGTGTGGGTATAGGGCATTCTCTCCAGGTCAGTCCCATGATGCCCTGTAACAGTGTGTGGGTATAGGGCATTCTCTCCAGGTCAGTCCCATGATGCCCTGTAACAGTGTGTGGGTATAGGGCATTCTCTCCAGGTCAGTCCCATGATGCCCTGTAACAGTGTGTGGGTATAGGGCATTCTCTCCAGGTCAGTCCCATGATGCCCTGTAACAGTGTGTGGGTATAGGGCATTCTCTCCAGATCAGTCCCATGATGCCCTGTAACAGTGTGTGGATATAGGGCATTCTCTCCAGGTCAGTCCCATGATGCCCTGTAACAGTGTGTGGGTATAGGGCATTCTCTCCAGGTCAGTCCCATGATGCCCTGTAACAGTGTGTGGGTATAGGGCATTCTCTCCAGGTCAGTTCCATGATGCCCTGTAACAGTGTGTGGTATAGGGCATTCTCTCCAGGTTAGTCCCATAATGCCCTGTAACAGTGTGTGGGTCATTCTCTCACGGTCAGTCCCATGATGCCCTGTAACAGTGTGTGGGTATAGGGCATTCTCTCCAGGTCAGTTCCATGATGCTCTGTAACAGTGTGTGGGTATAGGGCATTCTCTCAGGTCAGTCCCATGATGCCATGTAATAGTGTGTGGGTATAGGGCATTCTCTCCAGGTCAGTCCCATGATGCCATGTAATAGTGTGTGGGTATAGGGCATTCTCTCCAGGTCAGTCCCATGATGCCTGTAACAGTGTGTGGGTATAGGGCATTCTCTCCAGGTCAGTCCATGATGCCCTGTAACAGTGTGTGGGTATAGGGCATTCTCTCCAGGTCAGTCCCATGATGCCCTGTAACAGTGTGTGGGTATAGGGCATTCTCTCCAGGTCAGTCCCATGATGCCCTGTAACAGTGTGTGGGTATAGGGCATTCTCTCCAGGTCAGTCCCATGATGCCTGTAACAGTGTGTGGGTATAGGGCATTCTCTCCAGGTCAGTTCCATGATGCCCTGTAACAGTGTGTGGGTATAGGGCATTCTCTCCAGGTCAGTCCCATGATGCCCTGTAACAGTGTGTGGGTATAGGGCATTCTCTCCAGGTCAGTCCCATGATGCCCTGTAACAGTGTGTGGGTATAGGGCATTCTCTCCAGGTCAGTTCCATGATGCCCTGTAACAGTGTGTGGGTATAGGGCATTCTCTCCAGGTCAGTCCCATGATGCCCTGTAACAGTGTGTGGGTATAGGGCATTCTCTCCAGGTCAGTCCCATGATGCCCTGTAACAGTGTGTGGGTATAGGGCATTCTCTCCAGGTCAGTTCCATGATGCCCTGTAACAGTGTGTGGGTATAGGGCATTCTCTCCAGGTCAGTCCCATGATGCCCTGTAACAGTGTGTGGGTATAGGGCATTCTCTCCAGGTCAGTCCCATGATGCCCTGTAACAGTGTGTGGGTATAGGGCATTCTCTCCAGGTCAGTTCCATGATGCCCTGTAACAGTGTGTGGGTATAGGGCATTTTCTCACGGTCAGACCCATGATGCCCTGTAACAGTGTGTGGGTATAGGGCATTCTCTCCAGGTCAGTCCCATGATGCCCTGTAACAGTGTGTGGGTATGGAGCGGTCTCTCCTCCAGGTCAGTCACTTGATATCCTGTATCTGCCTATAAAATACTCTTCAATGCCTGTCCCGGCATCTCTGTGAAATAATCTTTTTGTTGCTAAGGAAATAATAAATTAGTTGGCGTGCTCTTTCTACTTCTGTGTTATTGTCAGTTGAGGTGGGGTGGGTAGCCGGTTTGTCTCTGTTTGACTTGCCTTAAAGTCACCATGTCACAAGGCAGCCACTTCCCTATGTGCTGGTTTACACTGAGGGCAGCGAAAATGTTTGTTTAAAGAATGGAATAAACTGATTCTAGATCTGCTGATAGATAATGAGCCTTGTTATATTCCGATGAATAATTAGTGGTGGTCAGTTTTGTAATTAGAAATATTATGAGGACTATCTCCAAATAATGAAAATGAGGCTGTTTCTGGAAAAGGTAGACGAGATATTCTAGATGTGTGTTGGGGGGGATTGTAGAAATGTTGGGAGGGTAGTTCCAGAATTGTTCAGGTATTGACTCTAGAAGTGTTGGGATGTTGGCAAGGTCTGAGTTTATGTTTTGGGATAGAATTTACAACGATACATTAATGTCTGAACACAGAGACACATTTTTTGAGAAGTTGCATATTTTGCAGAGCTCTCACTATTTGACCTCTTTCCTCATAGCTAATCGGAGCCTTTGTGCTGGCTGTTGGTATCTACGCCGAGGTGGAAAGGCAGAAATACAAGACTCTACATGGCGCCTTCCTGGCTCCAGCCGTCATACTCATCCTCCTTGGGCTCATCATGTTTGCTGTATCCTTTATTGGTGTCCTGGCCTCGCTCCGAGATAACCTGTGCCTGCTGCATGTGGTAAGTACATTGCTGTGGAGGGTATATGGATTGGGGTTTCTAGGGAACATGGACGATATTTTAGCAATCTGTGTGGAATGTTTGGTAGCGAATTGTGGAAAGTCGATGGACGGAAGGGAACCAGCCTTAGAAAAGACTAAATATTGTCTGAAATGTCTTTTAAAAGCTTTCCCATCAGATTTGTAATTAAGTCAGGTTTTACATGTATCCTATGTTTTCCTACATCTTGTCTTCTCGAGTCCTCTTGCTCTACCCTTTTCACGGTGTTGGACTCCCTTTTGTGTCTTTGCAGTTCATGTATACTTTGGGGGTCTGCCTTATCCTGGAACTCACGGGAGGCATCATTGCCTTAATCTTCAGAAATCAGGTGAGGAATCCGTACTGTGTATTAGAGAGCTCCTTCTCATAAAATCTATGAAGATCAATTGTCCTGGTCTCAGAGAAGACTCTGCCTATCCTACATGTAGACTGCATTGCTATCCTCAACCCATCCACGGTCCGTACCATTCTCATTTCATCTCTCTTCTTCCTGGCAGACGATGGACCTCCTGAATAAAAACATTGTTAGGGGAATTACTAATTATTACGATGATCTCGACTTCAAAAATATCATGGACTTTGTACAGAAACAGGTGAGCACACACATTTATTATTATTATTATTACGGCCACACTGCAGTGCTACAAACAGAACACATAGTAACTTAGTAAAAGTATCTTTTGGGCCCTGGCTGGCACATGGTTATCTGGCTCAAACAGGTTTTACAGAGCCCTCTATCCTGGAGACAATGGGGGAAAGTAATCCAATTATCCAGGGATAGAGGCAGACTCCATTGAGTATATGGTTGCAAAAAGACATAAAACACTTTAAAATACATAAAGTCACCTTTTACACATAACACACAGACATTTCACATATCCCCAGATAGCTGGGATCTGAGTGCACAAAACTACCAAATAGCGCTCAGATCCTATTCACACAGTTAAATTGCCATGGAGCCAAAGTCTTTAACTACACGAATGGGCTCCTTGGCATAGCTATCTGGGTTAACACATTCACATAAAGTCTGGTCCATAGTCCAAAGGCAAGAGGCGGGCAAGCAGCCCCCTCCAAGGACACGTGGCAAGGCCGGTTTCGCCACATTTCTCCCCTTTACCATCCAGACTAACAGGGTATCTGACCTCCTGCCGGTCAGTGCCCTGGTTAGTCCAGCAACCCACCCACGAAGCACAAACAGCAATACAGCCCACCCACAATAACTGGTTACTACACCTGGATAAAATAGCAACTTGTCCATGTCCAGGTGCCTCACCACAGCTGTGCGGGGGGCTGGTAGACTGCCTTGGTGGGTTGCTGAGTGGGCAGAGACCAGCGGTACTCTGCCCGGGTGCCAGCGCTACCACTGAAGTAGCCTGGTTGGAGCCTGGTTGTGGGAGGGGGAGACCAACTGTCTCCCCTCTGGATACACTGCTCTGTGGCTGGGGGACAGGACCGACCGTCCCTACCCCTGGTGCTGCAAGTGCAGAGACTACGGTCCCATCTGCATAGTTGTGGGGCTTAACATCTCCCCTTGGTGGGTTAGGCTGCCGCTGGAGAGAGGGTGTAACAAGCTCCTCTCTCTGAACTGTAGACTGCCGCTGGGGAGAGGGGGTAACCTGCTCCTCTCCCTGACACTCTCTTTGCTGGTGGAGAGGGGGACCAACTGTCTCCCCTTTCAATATTTTGTCCTGCGGCTGGGGTGCGAGACAGACGGTCTCTGCTTCCTGGGGTACACACTGCCGCTGGGGAGGAAGGACGGCACCTTCAGCTCCCTGGGGTACACACTGCCGCTGGGGAGGAAGGACGACACCTTTGGCTCCCTGGGATACACACTGCCGCTGGGGAGGAAGGACGGCACCTTCTGCTCCCTGGGGTACACACTGCCTCTGGGGAGGAAGGACGACACCTTCTGCTCCCTGGGGTACACACTGCCGCTGGGGAGGAAGGACGACACCTTCAGCTCCCTGGGATACACCCTGCTGCTGGGGAGGAAGGACGGCACCTTCAGCTCCCTGGGACACACACTGTCGCTGGGGAGGAAGGACGACACCTTTGGCTCCCTGGGACTCACACTGCCGCTGGGGAGGAAGGACAACACCTTCTGCTCCCTGGGGTACACACTGCTGCTGGGGAGGAAGGACGACACCTTTGGCTCCCTGGGATACACCCTGCCGCTGGGGAGGAAGGACGGCACCTTCAGCTCCCTGGGACACACACTGTCGCTGGAGAGGAAGGACAACACTTTCTGCTCCCTGGGGTACACACTGCCGCTGGGGAGGAAGGACGACACCTTTGGCTCCCTGGGACTCCTTTTTGGCCAAATCTACTAGAGATTGCAGGTATTCTCCTACTAGTTTCCTGGCGAGCTGCACAGCTCTCTCTGGGGGGTTGGGTACAAAGTTAGACAGCACCTCATTAACCTCTCTGTCAAACTCCTCCTGTAGTCATACGCCATGCTTGCTCTGCTGAAGTTAGTTCTTTTGTAGATAGGGTCGTTGTACGGATACTAGCGTTGCCTTCACTTTGTAACTCCAAACGAACTGTGTCTCTGAGCTGCTTTACCTCGCACTAGGACGCCATCCCACCGCTTGCCACCAATGTAACGGATCACCTGGCACCCCGACTGGGTACCTCCGTCAAAGGATGCTCCTAGCGTTTCCTGAGGACTCCAAGCACTCTGGCAGACACCACAATCACCCAACCGGAGAAGCGTATACCTTCTCTCAAGCATATGAATGCTGTAGACAGTTGAATAGGAACCATACGAATAGGTTTACTCTCCTAGCAGTCAAACTGGAACAGCATACAATGAATCCTTCCCCCAATAATGAGACGACACTTCACTTTGAGGGTTAAAACATGAACTCTTGTGCTGGCACACCCAGCCTGGTTTTTATAACAGCCTTTCACATACAGGACCGCCCACAGGGAGGTATAAAACAACCAATCACATATCAGTTACATCCCACATATTCCCTCCCCTTATCCTGAGAGGAAACTCAATTACACATACAGTTAAAACATACTTTCTACCCAACTTTCATAACTCTAAAACCATACATCACATTCACATAAAATTACATATTCACAATCAATCCATTCAGGGGAACAACATATTAAAAAATGGCATGAATCCGACCAGGGGTTCAAAAGTTAGTAAAAGTATATTTTGGGCCCTGGCTGGCACATGGATATCTGGCTCAAACAGGTTTTACAGAGCCCTCTATCCTGGAGACAATGGGGGAAAGTAATCCAATTATCCAGGGATAGAGACAGACTCCATTGAGTACATGGTTGCAAAAAGACATAAAACACTTTAAAATACATAAAGTCACCTTTTACACATAACACACAGACATTTCACATATCCCCAGATAGCTGGGATCTGAGCGCACAAAACTACCGAATAGCGCTCAGATCCTATTCACACAGTTCAATTGCCATGGAGCCAAAGTCTTTAACTACACGAATGGGCTCCATGGCATAGCTATCTGGGTTGACACATTCACATAAAGTCTGGTCCATAGTCCAAAGGCAAGAGGCGGGCAAGCAGCCCCCTCCAAGGATATGTGGCAAGGCCAGTTTCGCCACACCTCTCTAATATGGGGATCCCAGGACCCCAAACAAAGAGTGTCACTTTATCGCTTTATTGTTGCTTGCAGGAAGGTATTTTACTTTTTTTGATTAATATATTTCTATTGAATATTTTATGCAAATCAATACAAAAGGGAACAGAAACAAGGGAAAACAAGTAAAGGGCAGGTTGTGTATCCACATGAATAATTATACGTATCTTTAATAATGTATTCAGTGGATTTTTAACCCATACATTCATTTTCGCTCTTGGCTTTTGTCTTTTCTCGCTGCGTTATACGGTGAGCGCCATTTTCCTCTCTGCGCTGGGTTTTTCTTAACCTGCTGTTTATTTCCAGTTTAAGTGCTGTGGTGGCCAGGATTACATGGACTGGGAAAAGAACCAGTATCACTTCTGCTCGGCCCCGGGGCCCCTCGCCTGTGGCGTTCCGTACACCTGCTGCATAAGTAATAAGGTGAGGTCCTCCCTCCTTGGACAGGGAATGGTGGGATATTTGAGACAGGAGAGAGGCCATTTTACTAGAGATGCAATGTGGAACCTAATACAGTTTGAGGGAATCCTATGCTCCAGACTCTGAATAATAATCATAATTCTGAAATTAAACCCGCCCAATCTTCTCATTAATGATGTCGGTAATAAGTCCGCCCTGGCCACTCTGAGAATAACAAGATGTGTTTAATAATAATATCTGTTATAAGCCCTGTGGCGGATCGCCTGGCACCACGACTGGGTGCCTCTGCCAAGTGCTGCTTCCTAGTACCTCCGAGTACTCCTACGCACTCCCCCAGACACCATAACAACCCTGGACTCAAGACCAGGATCCAGCTTTCAGTGGGTAGACCTCTCCTAGTCCAGAGAGTAAAGCAGGCTGCTCTTACAAGCGCTAGTGATTATAATCCAAGGGAGCATAATGAGTATAGCAATCCCCAGAGGGAATATAGCTGATTCACAACCCCTGATAGCCCCGATCTGGGGGACCAACATATCCAAAAATCACCCAGATCAGTTCAGGGGTTCGGGATTTCCATGGAAGTCATAATTTTGACCAACTGTGCACATGGTCCTATGCCCAAAACAGTTCCAGGGAATTAGGACTAGCGGTCAATCTCTCCTTATGGAGTACAAAAGTACATAAATCATATATGTTTTTAAAGGGCCGATAGTCTTTTGGCAAGAGGTTACCTTCGCCACAGGCCTGTCCCAGCCTCTTTGAGAATAACGAGATGTGTTTAATAATAATGGCGGTAATAAACCTGTTCCGGCCTCTCTGAGAATAACAAGATGTATTTATTAATGATCACTGGTGCCAGAGTGATGTGTGTGAAATGCTCTGTATTTTGCTATTTTGCAGAGCGATGTGATGAACACAATGTGCGGTTATAAAGCCATGTCACAGGATGTAAGTAATGCTCAGTTCTTGCTGGCTGCTCTCTTATCTACCTTTTTAATTTCTGACTTGTATATCCCTTTACTAGCGCTCTCTCTCTTTTGCACTCTCTGTCCCCTCCGACAAAACTACTGTTTTCTCTATTACTCTAACCATCCTGGTGCTTTCTTTCTGATTGTGCCTCTCTCAGGCGAGCGCTCTGACCTCGCCGCTCTCTGGCGAGCGCTCTGACCTCGCCGCTCTCTGGCGAGCGCTCTGACCTCGCCGCTCTCTGGCGAGCGCTCTGACCTCGCCGCTCTCTGGCGCGCGCTCTGACCTCGCCGCTCTCTGGCCTCGCCGCTCTCTGACGCGCGCTCTGGCCTCGCCGCTCTCTGGCGCGCGCTCTGGCCTCGCCGCTCTCTGGCGCGCGCTCTGGCCTCGCCGCTCTCTGGCGCGCGCTCTGACCTCGCCGCTCTCTGGCGCGCGCTCTGACCTCGCCGCTCTCTGGCGCGCGCTCTGACCTCGCCGCTCTCTGGCGCGCGCTCTGACCTCGCCGCTCTCTGGCGCGCGCTCTGACCTCGCCGCTCTCTGGCGCGCGCTCTGACCTCGCCGCTCTCTGGCGCGCGCTCTGACCTCGCCGCTCTCTCTGGCGCGCGCTCTGACCTCGCCGCTCTCTCTGGCGCGCGCTCTGACCTCGCCGCTCTGTCCGCGCACGCAAGCTGTCCCCGCCGTGTGCCGGCCCCGCCCTCAAAATCCGTTGACTCCCAGAACTATGTGTCGCCTGGTTGCTGGGGGGAAAATGTCTTGGATTATTATACTGCTTATTTTGGTTACGAGGAAGGAATAGCGGAGATACCTATGCTAGGTATTGGAGCTCCGCTACAGCTCTGACCTCGCCGCGCTCTTTGTCTCTCTCGCTGACCTTGCCGCGCTCTCTCTTGATAGCATTTCAGGGTCATCTTATAATTTGCAAAATAAAACTTCGCTTTTATTGCACCTTTAAAAAAAAAAAAAAAAAAAAGTCAACGTTTCAGTGGAAAACTTAAATCCGGACTAAGCATTATATCTGTGTATGCAGCCATCACGCTGCACTCTCTCTCTGACCACCCTGCACTCTCTCTCTCTCTCTCTGACCACTCCACATCACCTCTCTCTGACCACGCTGCACTCTCTCTCTCTCTGACCACCCTGCACTCTCTCTCTCTGACCACCCTGCACTCTCTCTGACCACGCTGCACTCTCTCTGACCACGCTGCACTCTCTCTGACCACGCTGCACTCTCTCTGACCACTCCACATCACCTCTCTCTGACCACCCTGCACTCTCTCTCTCTCTGACCACCCTGCACTCTCTCTCTCTGACCACGCTGCTCTCTCTCTCTCTGACCACGCTGCACACTCTCTCTCTGACCACCCTGCACTCTCTCTCTCTCTCACCACCCTGCACTCTCTCTCTCTGACCACCCTGCACTCTCTCTCTCTGACCACCCTGCACTCTCTCTCTCTGACCACCCTGCACTCTCTTTCTCTGACCACCCTGCACTTCTCTCTCTTGACCAGCTGCACTCTCTCTCTCTCTGACCCACGCTGCACTCTCTCTCTCTCTCTCTCTCACCACCCTCCACTCTCTCTCTCTCTCTCTCTGACCACCCTGCACTCGCTCTCTCTGACCACCCTGCACTCGCTCTCTCTCTCTGACCACCCTGCACACTCTCTCTCTCTCTCTGACCATGCTGCACTCTCTCTCTGACCACGCTGCACTCTCTCTCTCTGACCACGCTGCACTCTCTCTCTCTGACCACGCTACACTCTCTCTGACCACCCTGCACTCTCTCTCTGACCACTCCACATCACCTCTCTCTGACCACCCTGCACTCTCTCTCTCTCTGACCACCCTGCACACTCTCTCTCTGACCACGCTGCACTCTCTCTCTGACCACCCTGCACTCTCTCTCTCTGACCACCCCACATCACCTCTCTCTGACCACCCTGCACTCTCTCTCTCTCTCTGACCACGCTGCACTCTCTCTTTCTCTCTCTGACCATGCTGCACTCTCTGATGACGCTGCACTCTCTCTCTCTCTGACCACGCTGCACTCTCTCTCTCTCTGACCACGCTGCACTCTCTCTCTCTCTGACCACGCTGCACTCTCTCTCTCTCTGACCACGCTGCACTCTCTCTCTCTCTGACCACGCTGCACACTCTCTCTCTCTCTCTCTCTGACCACGCTGCACTCTCTCTCTCTCTCTCTCTCTGACCACCCTGCACTCTCTCTCTCTGAGCACCCTGCACTCTCATTTTCTCTCTGACCTCGCTGCACTCTGCCTGATATCCCCATGTCTGTATGTTTCAGCGGCATTCTGCGCAGAGAACAATCTATGTTAGAGGCTGCACCAATGCAGTGATTCTCTGGTTCCTGGATAATTATACCATCATGGCTGGGGTGCTGCTAGGGATCCTCCTTCCGCAGGTGGGTTTAGAGGTGTTTTATTTTACAAGTTCTCTCAAATAAGCAAAGACTGCTGTCTGGGCTGAGCATATTTCAATGTCCAGTTATACTGCGCACTCTGCCCATGCTGTTCTTTTAATACTATTCTGTCTTTAGGTCCTTAATTTCTCTTTTTTATGGTTCCTAGTTCCTTGGAGTCCTCCTCTCCCTCCTTTATGTGACACGAGTACAGGATATCATCAGCGAATGGAACAATTCTGCAAATGTCCTCCTAACCGGAGAGGATTCCAAGCCGGAACTTGAGTTTTCCACTGTAGGATGTTGCCGGTGCTACCCGGGCGAGGAATCTGCCGCCTGAGGACCTCTAACTCCTCACAGCTCACTCTCAACTGTGGCCTTTAATAACACAACTGCACTAACAAACAACTAAGATTAACCCTGGGGCTGGTCAGGGACACAACCACCTTCGCAGGTGTTACGGATGTAGTGATGATGTGCGGACTGCTTGTTGTGGTGTAGATCGTTTTTATCTCTGTACACTGTAACAACATATGACAATTTGGGAATTCTGTGGTGTCCACACACTCCGCTGTCAGTGCTGACCAACACTGTGACAGCCTTTACTGAGGGTTCCAGGGAATTTTGTTATATTAATCTAAAAGAATGCATCTCAAGTGTAAAGTAAAAATGAAGGTCTTTCATTAGTCCGTTCTGTGCGTCGGATGCACTGATAAACTAAATGACTTGCCTCATCCGCTACGCAAGTAACGTCCTTCAGGAACAAAAAAAAAGCCTTTAAAAGAAACTTGACCGAGAAAACCGTGAATATCAAGAGTCTAAATGATACAGAAAAAGAAATCCCTGAATGTCAGTAACAGAGATGGGGACAACGGGTTTTATATTGCCCTCTCTCTGTGACTTTCATTCATTATATTATCCTCTTTTGGTTATTTCCATATGGTGGGTGATGGACGCTTAAGGCTGCCATGTCCTGGGTTCCCATTCTAAGAAATGAGACCTTTGGCGAACGCCCTGTGACTGTCAGGGGACATTGAATACTTGAAACCAAACCTGGAATCTCGGAACCAACGCCACTCAGAGCGTCTTATCTTCTGGTTCCTCGTACAGATGTTGAGTCTTGGGGCAGAGTGATTTACTAAGCCGTGAAATGTTCACATTTCTGTATTATTCTGTCAAGCTTAATTTCTAAGATGCACAACATGTTCCTGGGAATATCTTGAGTTACTGTAGGTGTGAGCGCATTCACAAGCAGTTGGTCTTTCAGGGTGTCCACTTTGTAATGATTTAGGCTGTTATTCGGTGGCAGGAGAGGTTCTATTTTTAAGATGAGTGAAGAATGTGCCATAGGATGCTGGCTGTGTTTGACAAAGATGGTTTTACTGTTTACATTCACTTCGAGTGCAGCAATTGCTTGAGTGTGGACTCGGACATGGTGTTCCCAGAAGCCTTACTACGTGTCCCATCTCTCCTTTCACATGTTAAATGTTTACATGGGACGGATGTGTCTCAGAGAGAGAATTAGTGTTTCTAATCAAAATAATATTCGGACTCAGGTGTAAAGTGCCAATAGCCCTTATAATCCAAGAGGGGGACATCTCATTCTAATTAAAACCCCAATACATACCTGCTTCCTGTCTGTGAATAACTTTTAACATTGTACGCTATACAGTGTATTCATCTCTACCCGTCTTTAAATACCCTTTATCTAACATTGTACGCTATACAGTGTATTCATCTCTACCCATCTTTACCCTTTATCTAACATTGTACGCTATACAGTGTATTCATCTCTACCCATCTTTACCCTTTATCTAAGATTGTACGCTATACAGTGTATTCATCTCTACCCATCTTTACCCTTTATCTAACATTGTACGCTATACAGTGTATTCATCTCTACCACATTGACCTCAGTTTAGTTCTTTTGGATTGTTTTTTACATGGTCATAATCTGTTCATAAAACTTTTCTAATTATTTATCTACAAAAGTCACCATTAAAGTCTAAGAGAATAGGCCGTGATCATTTGAAAAGGTTGTCCAAAATAATGAAATACACAGTATATCACACAATGACATCAATGTAATTCTTCAAATAATTACATGTAATATTCTGCTCCAGATTGTGGTGATTTGCAGTTTGGTAACTGTTGTTAGCTTTCCATGCCAGTAATGGCTGCACGGATGTGTGATGAGCCTACGCTTTCTTAATAGAACATTTCTGGGATTCTGTTAACTTGCACTGCCATGATTAATTTGAATGAGAGTACGCGCAGACAGTCTGCCAGTCACAGTGTGTTTTTAGTTAAAACTGACCCCTGCACGCATGGAATGCTACTCTGGTTTCATTTAGGGGCACCAGGATTCGCAGAGCAGCCTCAGCCACTCTGTCGATTGTATGCAACTTTAGCAAATATTAAGGATTATACTTGCAGGTCAATTTTGGAACAATTTTGAAAAGTTTTAATTAGTAATCCTGGGGCGAAGATTTAAAAGTGGTGCAGAAGGAACATGGTGATGGCACCGTTTATAGCACTTATATTTAGAACCTCTCTCTGTTCATGTGTGCAATATAAATCTGAATTATATATTACAGTGAGTACACTGATCTGGATTATATATTGCAGTGGGTACTCTATTAATCGGGATTATATATTGAGGGGAAACACTATTAAAATGGATTATATATTACAGGGGAAACACTATTAAAATGGATTATATATTACGGGGGAACACTATTCATTTGGAGGTATGCATTACAGGCAGGTCAAGTGATATATACAAGATTAATCTATATAATATATTGCAGCGTGTACAATAATAATCTGGAGTGTAATATTAATTTAGACTCTACGTTGGCAGTGTATAATTAATGGTATTAATCTGGATTATATATCGCAGCCAGATAAAATAGGATGTTAATATTATATCTGGATGATATATGGTGTGATGTTAATGACAGAAGTGAATCTTTGCAGGGTCCTCGCAGAATATTTTCCCGTTTTCTTGCACTGACCCACCCTGATACTGGCCAGTATTCATAGTGACTGGGAAGTATCACAGAGTGTGCAAACAATGCTGAATAAAACAAGGCTTTTATGGAAAGTAGTCAAACCGTATTATAGTTCCACCAGAATTATTCAGCCTTTGGGTTCTGTGTGGGTGCTGTGTGCTGTGATTTTGAGTGCAGTGTGTATCACAGCCTGACTGTTCTGTGGGGGCGCTATGATCCTGCGTGCAGCGTGTATCACAGCCTGACTGTTTTGTTGGGGTTCTGTGATACTGGGTGCAGCCTGACTGTTCTGTTGGGGTGCTATGAGCCTGGGTGCAGCGTGTATCACAGCCTGACTATTCTGTGGGGGCGCTGTGATCCTGGGTGCAGTGTGTTTTACAGCATGCCTAGAAGTTCTGTTGGGGTGCTGTGATCCTGGGTGCAGTGTGTATCACAGCCCGACTGTTCTGTTGGGGTGCTGTGATCCTGGGTGCAGCATGTATCACAGCCTGACTGTTCTGTTGGGGTGCTGTGATCCTGGGTGCAGCGTGTATCACAGCCTGACTGTTCTGTGGGGGCGCTATGATCCTGGGTGCAGCGTGTATCACAGCCTGACTGTTCTGTGGGGGTGCTGTGATCCTGGGTGCAGTGTGTATCACAGCCTGACTGTTCTGTGGGGGCGCTATGATCCTGGGTGCAGCGTGTATCACAGCCTGACTGTTCTGTTGGGGTGCTGTGATCCTGGGTGCAGCGTGTATCACAGCCCGACTGTTCTGTTGGGGTGCTGTGATCCTGGGTGCAGTGTGTATCACAGCCTGACTGTTCTGTGGGGGCGCTGTGATCCTGGGTGCAGCGTGTATCACAGCCTGACTGTTCTGTTGGGGTGCTGTGATCCTGGGTGCAGCGTGTATCACAGCCCGACTGTTCTGTTGGGGTGCTGTGATCCTGGGTGCAGTGTGTATCACAGCCTGACTGTTCTGTGGGGGCGCTATGATCCTGGGTGCAGTGTGTTTTACAGCCTGACTGTTCTGTTGGGGTGCAGTGTGTATCACAGCCTGACTGTTCTGTTGGGGTGCTGTGATCCTGGGTGCAGTGTGTATCACAGCCTGACTGTTCTGTTGGGGTGCTATGATCCTGGGTGCAGCGTGTATCACAGCCCGACTGTTCTGTTGGGGTGCTGTGATCCTGGGTGCAGTGTGTATCACAGCCGTTCACCATTAACCTGGATCAATCACTGGTATTCTTGTGATCTGTAGTACTGACTGACTCGGCCGATGAACGGCTCAGCCTAGTTTTATTCAGATCTAAATACGCTCTATATAAATATTTTTCTAGATTTGCTGAAACTGAGTGCTCTGACTTATTTCTTTATACAGTACTGACTGATCTGATTTCAATGTATTTTTATGAACTAATAAATTTATAAACCATTTGGTCTCCCTTTTGCTACCTTGTAGAAAATGCTTTAAAATAAGGTTTTTAACCCTTTAATGTAGCTGCCCGGGCTGGTTACGATGATCGTATTTAATAACATGATCTAATAAGTGATGGGTTGTCTTCACAGTAAATTCTGCTTGTTTTATGGGGGGGCAAGGGAAGAAAAAGTGGTGAAAATAATAACAAACCTCTTCCGTTGGCGCCAGCATGCAGCACCATGGAAGGAATGCTGGGTGCGCATGTACGGATCGTTTCTGGACATGCACACGCATAGCCGCTGAGAGGCACTATGAACATGGAAGTGCTGATGAAGTGTGTGCTTTGGTTCCCCTCCTTCCCCCCACTTAGCTCTGCTGCATTATATTCACCCCTGTACAGCTTCATTGGCATATACCGGAGCAAGGGAACAAGGAAGTCATTTTATGGAAACACCTACTTTATCAAAGAATACATGACATATGACTGGCCATTAGGGGGTTAAGTGGCACAAACTCCACATTCTGCTTCTCTGATTATAATGATCCCATATTGACTGAAACCCTTTCATACTCTCCTTTACGCAGGAGGGTGTGGCCTGTTGCCAATCAGAGACTGCAACCTGGCGCACTGAACAAACGCCATTCTGATTCCGAATACTGATAGGGTAGATCATTCTACAAAGCCTGGATGTTGGGCCATAAAGAGTTAATATTGTGAAGTCTCAGTATAGATAAGGTAGAAAGGGGTAGCACAGACTTTTACTAATGCTGAGCTTAAAGGGACACTATAGTCACAGAATAACTACAGCTTAAAGGACCACTATAGTGCCAGGAAAACCTATTCGTTTTCCTGGCTCTATAGTGCCCTGAGGGTGCCCCCACCCTCAGGGACCCCCTCCCGCCCGGCTCTGGAAAGGGGTAAAAACTTACCTTTCTCCAGCGCTGGACGAGGAGCTCTTCTCCTCCGATCCTCCTCCTCTCCGCCCATTCGGCTGGCTGCGCGCGCATTCAGCCAGTCGCATAGGAAAGCATTTACAATGCTTTCCTATGGACGCTGGCGTGCTCTCACTGTGATTTTCACAGTGAGAAGCACGCAAGCGCCTCTAGCAGCTGTCAATGAGACAGACGCTAGAGGCTTTGGGGGAAGGCTTAACCCATTCATAAACATAGCAGTTTCTCTTAAACTGCTATGTTTATAAAAAATGGGTTAACCCTAGAAGGACCTGGCACCCAGACCACTTCATTAAGCTGAAGTGGTCTGGGTGCATAGAGTGGCCCTTTAATGTTATGGTATCTATTTCCAGTTCCTGCAGCATTTTAATGTAAGCACTGCCTTTTCAGTAATTGCACACCTCCAGTGGCAGTCACTCAGATGGCCACTGGAAGTGCTTCCTGGGGCAGTGCTGCACAGTGTCTCCACACTCAGCATGGAGGCACTGAATATTCCCCATAGAAATACATTGATTCAATGCATCTCTGTGAGTAAATGCTGATTAGAGCAGCGCAGTGTTTTGCTCGCATGCGCAAAAGCCTTGCACTGCTTTCTGATGATCTCAGTCAAAGAAGCAGAGGGGGACAGGGCCAGCCACAAGGAGACCTGTGCAGCACTGGAACAAAAGACAGTAAATCATCTTTGTAACTGGGTGAGTAAGTAGGTCTGGAGACCTGAACGGCTACGTGATTGTATTCCTGACATTGTAGTGTTCCCTTAAGGAATGCATTATGTTTTTCCAATCTCAATTAGAACCAAGGTTTGGACTTTACTCACCGTTAATTCCTTTTCCCAGTACAATAGGGATGTACTCTTCCCATGGGACAAGCATCTGAAATAAATAATTAACATAAAAAGTACCTCCCCCAAACGGTATAAGGCACCAAACTGCCATAGAACCTCAATACGTCCCAATAAAACCTCAGAGAATTATTACTGCAAAAATATCAAACTTATTAACAAAGGGAGGGCGTGATATACTGCCATCATATTAAGGTAAAAGGAATTTCCGGTGAGTAAAATTGCAGTTTTTCCTGGTGACAGTACAATAGGGATATATCGAGATCCCACAGTTATTCCCAGAGCTTGTAACACCTTATGCCCGAAAGCAGCGTCAGAGAGGATACGTCTAGTCTGTAATGCTTGACGAAGGTTTTGAATGAAGACCATGTAGCGGCTCTGCAGATGCTTTTTCGGCCCAGGAAGCACCCATTCCTCTTAGCGGAAGTTATGACCACCAAAAATGCGGTTTTCAGAGACTGGAGCTTCAAGGAAGTTTCCTCCAAAGGTTTGAAAGGCTGGGTAAAAAGAGACTTCAAAACCAAAGATTTAGAATTCCATAAGGACGGCTGATATGGCCATATCAGCCGTCCTCAGGTACTGAGCTTTAGCCACCGAAGCGCCTGCCAATGCTGCTTTAGCCTGAAATCCTGCTGCCTGATATGCTCATCTGCTGGATGTTTCTGCCCTTTTATCCCTAGGGTCTTTAAGACCAGAGACTTCTCCAATCGGTATGGTAGAATAAAAATGGCAATTTCCACTTGGAAATATACTCAGATTAGGTAGCATTGGGCGCCATGTTGGTACACTCACATCAGGCAGCATTGGGCACCATGTTGGTATACTCAGATCAGGTAGCATTGGGCGCCATGTTGGTAGAGTCAAATCAGGGAGCATTGGGCACCATGTTGGTATACTCAGATCAGGTAGCATTGGACGCCATGTTGGTATACTCAGATCAGGTAGCATTGGGCGCTATGTTGGTATACTCTGATCAGGTAGCATTGGACGCCATGTTGGTAGAGTCAGATCAGGTAGAATTGGGTGCCATGTTGGTAGAGTCAGATCAGGGAGCATTGGGCGCCATGTTGGTATACTCTGATCAGGTAGCATTGGACGCCATGTTGGTACAGTCAGATCAGGTAGCATTGGGCGCCATGTTGGTACAGTCAGATCAGGGAGCATTAGGCGCCATGTTGGTATACTCAGATCAGGGAGCATTGGACGCCATGTTGGTACAGTCAGATCAGGTAGCATTGGGCGCCATGTTGGTACAGTCAGATCAGGGAGCATTAGGCGCCATGTTGGTATACTCAGATCAGGGAGCATTGGACGCCATGCTGGTATACTCAGATCAGGGAGCATTGGGCGCCATGTTGGTATACTCAGATCAGGTAGCATTGGGCGCCATGTTGGTACAGTCAGATCAGGTAGCTTTGGGCGCCATGTTGGTACAGTCAGATCAGGGAGCATTGGGCGACATGTTGGTACAGTCAGATCAGGTAGCATTGGGCGATATGTTGGTACAGTCAGATCAGGGAGCATTTTGGGCGACATGTTGGTACAGTCAGATCAGGTAGCTTTGGGCGCCATGTTGGTACAGTCAGATCAGGTAGCTTTGGGCGCCATGTTGGTACAGTCAGAGCAGGTAGCTTTGGGCGCCATGTTGGTACAGTCAGATCAGGTAGCATTGGGCGCCATGTTGGTACAGTCAGATCAGGTAGCATTGGGCGCCATGTTGGTAAAGTCAGATCAGGTAGCATTGGGCGCCATGTTGTTAGAGTCAGATCAGGTAGCTTAGGGCGCCATGTTGGTAGAGTCAGATCAGGTAGCTTTGGGCGCCATGTTGGTACAGTCAGAGCAGGTAGCTTTGGGCGCCATGTTGGTACAGTCAGATCAGGTAGCATTGGGCGCCATGTTGGTACAGTCAGATCAGGTAGCATTGGGCGCCATGTTGTTACCGGTTGCCTTGGAGACGCCTTATAGAATGCTCGCGCTCTGTTAGGTGTACTAAGATGGCCGCGTCCTTTGCGCGCACTCTCCCTTCCCCACGTCGCGCGCTAAGCAGGAAGACACGTGACCCTATGAGGGCGGAAGTGATCCCAGGGTACACTGCGTTCAGGCCAGAAGTTTATACGTATTTCCTTTTCCGGTCTTTTCCACCATCCAGCCGGAATCATGGCTTCATTCGAGCAGATGAGAGCAAATGTGTGCAAATTACTGCGAGGGATCGACAGGTAGAGAAACGCAGAGCGAGAGGGCCATGTGCGGCCCGGGGGGGCCAGGGATCCCAATTTACAGCCTCTCTGTATAATCTCAGCCTCTCTGTATAACCCCCCTACCCCAATCTCTGTGTAACCCCCCCCCACCAATATCTGTGTAACCAACCCCCCCCACCAATATCTGTGTAACCAACCCCCCACCAATATCTGTGTAACCAGCCCCCACAATCTCCCACCCCACGTCTGTGTGACAACCCCACAGTCTCTTATTGTAACCATCTCTGTGTAACCCCCCCCACAATCTCAGCTGTAACCAACCCCCACAATATCTGTGTAACCAACCCCCCACAATCTATCTGTGTAACCAACCCCCCACCAATATCTGTGTAACCAACCCCCATACAATATCTGTGTAACCAGCGCTTCCACTTCATATCTGTGTAAACCCCCCACCAATATCTGTGTAAGTACCCAAACCCCCCACCAATATCTGTGTAACCCCCACCAATATCTGCGTAACCAACCCCACCAATATCACCAACATCGTAGTACAATATCTAACCCCCACCAATATCTAAGTAACCAACCCCCCACCAATATCTGTAACCAACGCCCCCCACCAATATCTAAACCAACGCCCCCAAATTAACATAGGTAACCAAACCCCACCACATTCAGTAACCAACCCCCACCAATATCTTCGCAGAACCAACTTCACCAATATACCAAGTAACCAACCCCCCACAATATCCTGTGAACTAACCCCCACCAATATTCATGAACTAACGCGATGCCCAAGCAACCACCCCCACCACATCTGCAACAAACCCCCTGCACCAATATTCAAGGTGAACCAACCCCCACCATTCTCATGTAACCAACCCCCCACCAATATCTGCGTGAACTTCAACCCCCACCAATAGTCTGCAACCAACCCCCCACCACATATTCAAGTAACCAGCCCCCACCAATATCTGCGTAACCAACCCCCCACCAATATCGTAACCAACCCCCACCAATATTCAATAACCAACCCCCCTACCAATATTCTAACTAACCCCCCACCAATATTCAAGGTAACTAACCCCCCCACCAATATCCTGCGTAACCAACCCCCACCAATATCTATGCTTCAACCCCCACCAATATCTACCTTCCCCTACCAATATCTGTAACCAACCCCCACCAATATCTATGTAATCCAAGTACCAATATTCATGCAACCAACCCCCCCTCACCAATATCTGCCTAACCAACCTCCCCACCAATATCTCTGTGCTCAAATCCCCCACCAATATCGTATGTAACCAACCCCCACCAATATTCATATGCAACTAACGTAAATATCTCCGCGAATCCCACCAATATCGCATGTGACCAATGCCCCCCGGCCAATATCATAGAATTAACGTCTTATACCGCCCCCCAATATCAAATGCGTTCCCAATATTCATAGAATCCTAATTCCCCAATCTCTTAAGTAACCGGCCCCCTAATCTCTCAATCTACCCCCCAATATATCTCTGCCTGACTGAGCCTCCATCTCTGCAGAACCGGCCCCCACCTCTTATTGCAATGTTCATGTTGTTGTAATAGTATGTGTTACTGTATATTGTTATCATTCTTATACTATATCTTGCCGCACATGTCACTCTCCAGGTATAATCCTGAAAACCTCGCCACTCTAGAACGATATGTAGAGACGCAAGCAAAGGAAAATGCATATGATTTGGAGGCCAATCTAGCTGTGTTAAAACTGTAAGTAGTTTGGGTAGAAAAGACTTCATCATACTGTACCACTTACCTTGTAAATCTGGTGTATGCAGAAAATAGCTGTGTATTGCTGCCAGGTTATTTTACTCCTGATATGATGGTTTTAATGTGATTGAAAGTTGATGCATTCGTTAAAGGCCAATACCCCAATAGCCATGTAAAGTTCATAAGCAACAAGAGGGGAATAAATTGGTAAAATTAACAACTCTCCTCTAGGCTTCATGGGAGCCATCCTTATATCTGATGGTTTTATATAGACTGGCTGAGAATGGCCCTCCCTCTTCGCTCCTAGTCAGTCACTGCCATCCACGTTGTATGAAAAGAAGTTTTAATAATGGAAAGTGTTATTCTGTATTATCAGTGCTGCAGATGGAGGCAGTCCATGGGTGGCAGGAAAAACCTTAATTCAGGGCATAAAATTTCCACTAGCCATTGGTGATTAGAAATGTCCCTGGTGAGCCAGTCTCACTGTATTCCATCCACCTCCGCTGGTTGAAATCAATAATACTTATGATTGCAGCCTATCCAATGCTTCCCAGTAGGGAAATGTTAGGAGGCTAGTATGCATGCACAGCAAATAGCTGCACTGCGCAAATCTGCTTCTCTTAGAGATGCATTAACTCAATCCATCTCTATGGTGAGCGTTCGGCATGGAGTCCTGCATTCGTTGCAAGCACTTGTCCAGGAAGTCCCTTTGCTGGCTGTTCAAGTGACTGCCACTAGAGGTGGCAGTAGACTGCAGTGAAATAAATAAACACAGAAATATTTCCCAGAGCCACTACATGAAGCCTCAGTGGTTCTGGTGCCAAGAGTGTACCTTTAATAGCTTTTCCTCCTGCAGGACAGCCTCTTCATAAAATATCCTACAGCATGAAGACACTGTATAGAAAACATGGTGGATGTGCCAACACTACTAATTAGAGATTCTCCTTTTCCTGTTTCTCCACAGCTATCAGTTTAATCCAGCTTTCTTCCAGACCAATGTCACCGCTCAGATCCTCCTGAAAGCTTTGACCAACCTCCCACACACAGACTTCACTCTCTGCAAGTGTATGATCGACCAGACTCACGTATCCTTTGTTGCTTTGTGTCTGACACCACACAACGACTTGTGTTCTTTCCGTAGATTATGGTGCTGTCTGTAGATAGTCACATAACTGGAGAATAGGCAGAAATAGTGTCATCTGTAAACCCAACTCCCACACGTTTGTCCCATTGTTAAGGTCTGCTTCCCTCTGTACCATAGTGAGTGCAGCTTTCTGCTGTACAAGGTAGAAAAAAATAACTTCTACTCTGATTAAGGGATATGCTCAGCAGATGAGGATACACGACGCATGGGCGTCAATTTCCCACGTATCTCTATCAGTAGTTTTTGCCTGCGTGACCATCACTAGCAAGTGTGGAAACTGTAAAATGGAATCCATGCTATTTTGCATAAATTACACTTTTTACTACAGCAAGGCTGCAGGGGCAGCTATATACCCCAAAATCAATTAAGAAGACGTGATGCTGGTGCTCCAGGGATAGATTGTGTGTGTGTGTGTGTGTGTGTGTGTGTGTTGGCAGCGCTCCAGGGATAGATTTGAGGGGGTGGGTGGTGGCACTCCAGGGATAGATTTGGTGTGTGTGTTGGCAGCGCTCCAGGGATAGATTTGGAGGGGTGGTTGGTGGCGCTCCAGGGATAGATTTGGGGGGGTGGGGTGTGGTGGCGCTCTAGGGATAGATGCGGGGGGGGTGATGGCGCCCCAGGGATAGATTTGGGGGGGGGGGTGTGGCGGCGCTCCAGGGATAGATTTGGTGTGTGTGTGACTGTATATGTGTCAGTTTGTGCCCCTATGTATCTTTATGCGTGTCATTCTCTGTATCTGAATGTGTCTGCATGCATATCTTTTTTTTTTTTTCTGCACGTGTCTATATGTGCATCTGTCTGCATGTGTGCCCCTATGTATCTGTATGTGTATCTCTCTGTATGTGTGTCAGTGTTTGTATCTGTAGAAGTGTCATTCTATGTATTAGCATGTGTCCATATAGGTATCTGTATGTAGTTTTATATTCTACAAATGGAGGGGTAAGGGGAGGGTAGATGTATTGGGAAGGGGGGCCCAGGGTAATTTTCGCATCGGGCCCTGTGGTTTCTAGTTACGCCTCTGCGTTCCAGGGAAAGATTCGTTGTGTGGTGGCATTCCAGCGGTAGATTCAGTGTGTCATAGATGGTATTCTAGGGATAAATATAATGTGGATGGGAGGTGTGATGGATATTGGAGTAACTGGGCTCCTGTTTTAAAACATTTTGTGTTTTTGCTGGGGGGATTTTCAAACTTTTTGCCAATGATTCCTTAACCATTTGGGATTCAGCAAGAAGAACGGCCGATCAGACAGATTCTCTATTTGGGGGACCTCCTGGAAACCTGTCATTTTCAGTCATTCTGGGTAAGTACCAGTAACATGGAAACTACATATAGAGCAGTACTGATGTCCTGCTGTTATCGCTGGACGTTAAAATCTTCTATACACAATGAGCACGAGAGATTCGAATAAGGTGAAATACAAATATTTAGTGGGTAAGTAGGTTTTCCTGATGTTAGTTTAATTTTTTTCTGGGGATCCTATGGGAATGTTGCCTAAAAACCCATTGGGTGCATCATGCAGGGAATTATCGTTTAGTGAAGGAGGCTGTATTTCCTGGAGAGGTTCTCAATGTCCTTGAGCTGTATATTTAAGAAAGCTGTGAATAAAGGAAGCTTTTTGCATTGTTGAGTAGGCTTGGACAATAGATAGAATTCACGCCTTCTCCAGGGGAAGCCCAGAATTTCAATGTTAAGTCACACTGGGCTTGTTGGTTTCATTTAGAGCAGTCATGGGTGTAACTGAACATGTATGTTCAGGGAGTGTCCAAATGTTGACTGATTTTGCAGACAGCAATACAAAAGGTAGGGGGGGTGGGGGTGTAAATATTTAAGCACAGCTTAATAACCATAGCAGGTCACTAGTAGCAGCACATCTACAGTTTTAATAAATTGAACATGTGAAATTCTCCATGTGCTATTTACAACTGTTCTTGGAATTGGGATCTAAAACTTCTAGAGGATAGGACCCCAAACTGTGTACACATCCTAGTTATTTAATAGAATTGTCTGTTACATAGTACTTACACCTTCAGTCACACAATCCATCCATCTGCGGCTCTAACCTCCACGACTGATATCACAAAATGATTTCCCCACTCCCAAATTCAAGAGGAGAACATGGTGTGGAAAGTAAAAAGAATGATTTGGTAGTAAATAAGGTCCTACGGGATAGTTCATGTGTATTGAAAAGTTAGAATTTCTTATCATTTATGTATTATTTTACAACCATCTGTTAAAATTGCTGGACCATAAATGCTGCAAGATAGTGAGCATTGGTCAGATAACCCATAAAGGAACAAAAAAACACACATCTTAAAATGATATATATATATATATATATTATTAAATCGTTTGTTTGGACTCTTGTGCTGCCACCTCTCCGTGCCATCTTTTCTACTTTCCGCTAACTATGCTGTTCTCATTTTGTCTCCGCAGCAAGCTCTCGATGAGAATTTAGATCTCTTGGACGGTATTGCAGGTTTTGAGGATTCTGTCAGAAAATGTAAGTGTTTTTATGAATTGTCTTTTCCGAACATAGCTGATCCTCCACTTATTCTGAATCTGGAAGCTCCATCCGCTGCTCCACCACTCAACATGCACTTGTATCCCTTGCTCCTTCTTGCCCACGTGTGCTGGGGTCCAGTGAGTGAAACACTGTGTTCTCTGCAGTCTATTTGTTGTAAAGAAGCCTTGCGTTCTGCACATTTGTAGAGTTTATTCTCTAATCATAGAACTGCATGAAAATTTGAAGTAAATCTTGAGTTTGTGACTAAATCAGCCAAACTGTAAAAAGCTGAGCTGTAGAAATTGTTCCAGATCCTAGTAATTACCTTGTAATTTCTCTGCAATTCCTGGTTTACTGAATGTCTCTCTGTGTGGGGAGATAGTTTTGAGTCCATATAATCCAGGGATCGAATTAACAAGATCTGCATTCCACCTTAATGCTACAGACACTGGTCCAAACTACAGTCTGTGTAATGTTCATTATTCACGAAAGCAGGAATTGGAGAATTCACTCTGTACTCAATGTCTCTAAGTTCAGCCTTTAACTTATTTACCAAGGTCTAGCAGATCCTGCTTGGGGCCAATATACTCCCACATTTTCCAAGGTCTAGCAGATCCTGCTTGGGGCCAATATACTCCCACATTTACCAAGGTCTAGCAGATCCTGCTTGGGGCCAATATACTCCCACATTTACCAAGGTCTAGCAGATCCTGCTTGGGGCCAATATACTCCCACATTTACCAAGGTCTAGCAGATCTGCTTGGGGCCAATATACTCCCACATTTACCAAGGTCTAGCAGATCCTGCTTGGGGCCAATATACTCCCACATTTACCAAGGTCTAGCAGATCCTGCTTGGGGCCAATATACTCCCACATTTACCAAGGTCTAGCAGATCCTGCTTGGGGCCAATATACTCCCACATTTACCAAGGTCTAGCAGATCCTGCTTGGGGCCAATATACTCCCACATTTACCAAGGTCTAGCAGATCCTGCTTGGGGCCAATATACTCCCACATTTACCAAGGTCTAGCAGATCCTGCTTGGGGCCAATATACTCCCACATTTACCAAGGTGTAGCAGACTCCGCTTGGCGTCAATATGCTCCCAGCGCAAAGTTTCTAATTCGGAGCACAGTGGGTTTGCAACACTGGAAGTAAACTGTTGGCTATTTCATTGCTGTGTGATTATTGAAATATTGGCCTCATGAAATGCTAATAAGGCAAACAATTTTCAAATGCCTTTCTTTTTTATTTTACTTTTTTTTTTTGGTTTCTTCTTCCAGTTATTTGCCATGTAGTTGGAATCACCTATCAGCATATTGAGCGCTGGCTCCTGGCCGAGATGCTCGGAGACCTGTCCGGTAAGTCCTGTACGACCCGTGGAAGTCTTTCTTCTTATAGTGTTAAAGTCAAGTGTTTCCAAATAACCTGACGCTTAACTAACCGATTTGGTTAGATTCCCGTGTTTCTGCAACTATTCTGCTAATTCCTGCTTTCATTACCTGAATCATTATTTTTTTATTGCGTACTATATACTGCTGGCACGTTATCTGGGGGGGGGAGTGGTTGTTGGGCACAGAGATTGGGGAGGGGTGTTGTCGGGGCGCAGAGATGGAAGGGGCTGGATAGCAGTTGCATTCTGCTAACCGTTCACTGTAGAGAGTTGTATGGTGCAGGACATTATGGGAGATATTTATCAATGTGTTCTGAAAAGTGATGGTTAAATTCCATTATTATTATTTTGATTGTTTTTATTAATATTCTAAGAGAAATCTATAAAGCACCAGTTTTTATTATAGTAAATTCGGACACTTTTTGCTGAACTTTTTCTTTTCAGCAAACAGCTAAATTTAGAATAGAGGAAAAAGACGACAGAAAAACACAATATTGTTCTGTTGGAAAGGTCAGAAATCTGTTTTAGCAGCAAAAATAATGGCTTATATTTAAAAAGGAAAAAAAAAGTTCTAAGGTCTAAAAAAGCAACAGATGGAAAAATCTGAAATAATTTAATGTTGAGACAAGAATTTGATTGAAAGGAGTCTGCAAAATGTTAATAAATGTCCTGTAGTGACAGGGCAACTGTGAATTTAAACCAAACGCACATTTAAAAGTAATCTAAACCAATTTTTAGCTCACTTACTATTAGTTTTTCCTGGCCACGTACTTCATCAAAGTCAAACCTTTACCGTCTATGTTTGTGGTTAAACCACTCTAATCTTTCTCAAAAACAATGTACACAAAACGTTTTGGTGTCTGTGTGAAACCTATGGAGCTCTGATGTATCTGACGGGAGACTTATTCTTAAGTTTCAAGTTGAAACTGTCATTCTGGCTCTGACTAGCAGGCACACACTCAGCACAGGACGCTTAGTGCTGTCCAGGTTTGTAATGTGAAGAACCAGGTGCTATTCAGAAGCTCACATCAGTTAGACAAAATATGATTCTAGTGGGTAAAAAAGATGACATGGTTTACGATTTAATTTTGGAACGGTACAGTATTATTTAAAGGGACACTGTAGTCACCAGAACAACTACAGTTTATTGTTTTTATTCTGGAGAGTAGAATCGTTCCATTCAGGCTTTTTGCAGTAAACATGGTTTTTCAGAGAAAATACAGTGTTTACATTACAGCCTAGTGATAACTTCACTGGCCACTCCTCAGATGGCTACTAGAGGTGCTTTCTGGGACAGTGTGACTGACATTCAATGACTCTGCCCTCTGCATGAAGACACTGAACTTTCCTCATGGAGATGCATTGATTCCATACAACTATGAGGAGATGTTGATTGGCCAGGGCTGTGTTTGGCTTGTGCTGGCTTTGCCACTGATCTGCCTCCTTCACAGCCTCAGACAATCCTATGGGAAAGCATTGTGATTGGCTGAGGGAATCACGTCTGATGATGTCAGGCAGGCAGATCAGAGGCAGCAGTTGCAGACTTGAATACAAGTAAGATTTTACTATATTGGGCAGGGGGCTAGATGGTGGTTTTAAAACAATAGGGTCAGGAATACGTTTGTGTTCTCAGCGTAAAGTGAATTAGCACATTCAGTCTGAATTTTGATGTCTGTGTTGTCTTGGCAGAGCCTCAGCTCAGAGTCTGGATGAGCAAATACGGATGGGCAGAAGGGGATAATGGAAAGATCTTTATCTGTAATCAGGAGGAGAACATCAAACCCAAGAACATCGTGGAGAAGATTGATTTTGACAGTAAGTTTGTTTTGAGTGTAGGTGACATGACACATTCCACCAGCAGATCAAGATTCTCACTGTTTTCTGTTTTTCAGGTGTTTCTGGAATAATGGCGACTTCACAATGACACTTTTCCTGAAGAAATTGAGTTTATTTTATATATTGCCGGAATGTCTGCTCTCTGTAATAAATGCTGTAAAGTGACTCTTGTGTCTGTCGTTATAAATGATGTGAACGAGTCCCTCATGAGATCTAAATTTGCAGATTATTTTCCAGTAATTTCTCTCCTATATCTTTGTTAGCGTAAATTAAACTGCAACAATATACAATCACGTCTAGAAGAACTAGCCATGATCAGTATCGGTCAGGTACCTCGTCACATGTTTCTGGCTGTAATTATAGTGATTTACCCTCTAAATGATTTGAATCATATCCTCTGGTAGTTTGCAAATCCACGTTGTGACGGATTATGAGCTTGGTGCTCATTATGTATTGTGGCTGATTCTACGCTCCTATAAATTGATTTATAGATTTGCTGTCTCTTTGCACTATATTAATACATATTGTCTGCTTGAGATGGAATTCTATATACTAGGGGTGCACAATCTTTTTAAGAGAGGGGGCCAGATGACTGACTGAAATTACCAGCCTTGAAGATTTTCATCTCATTTTGCTTCTGCCTAAATTCTTCATAAGAATGTGGATGTGAGGAGAAAATAGGGGATGTGAGGTCATCTCCAGTCCCCTGCCTCTTATCCTTCACAGACAAGATCAAGCCATTAGGTTGAGGGAAGAGGTCTTGCCAGGCGAGGTCAAGGAGTCTATTTGTTGGTCCCCCGTTTTGATGTTCTATTTTCCTTTCGCAGTTGAAGCCATGTGTGATTTTTGTATACTACAGACCAGTGGTCATGCATTTGTATACTGGCGGTTGTGCCCCCCTGCCATATACAACCTTTATTGACCAATACTGAGCCTTGTTCAGTACCAGGTGTATCTTGCAATGGATGGAGTAAGGTTGTGTATATAAAACAGATACTGCTTTTGAAATCTTTGTTTCTCCATCTCCACTTTCATTTATTTTTTTGCGATTCGGGACAAAAGCAGTGGTAAGACAAAGTCGGTTGTTGTGAGCCAAAACCGATGTTAGGGCATACTTATAAAAAAGAGTGATGTGAGAAAGAGGGGAGCAGTTGGTGGGATGAATCGAACTGCAACAGCCCAGATTAAGGGGGTTTGACTGGGTTTAAAAAGCTGCGGTATATAAATTACTGTATACGTGTGGGATGAATGGACGCCATGATAAATTGAGACAAGCAAAAATGAGCCAGCTCTGCTGCCTCTCCTCATAAGTTACAACCATATCTATGTAGGCTAAATGTGGGCAACGTATGTTTATGAAAGACTTGGGATATGACCAAATGAGGGCATAACGTAAACACACAAGTAAATATGCAGTGTGGCTAAATGATGACCAGCTGTACCTCATGCATACCTAAATATATCAACAGTGAGGGCTGGATGTAATGATTGCCATACATACAAACATATGGCTGAATGAGAGCTGAATAAGAACCCTATATAAACGTACTCTGGTCAAATGAGGGCCGAATACGCACAAATACCAACATACTATATGGCCAAATATATCAAATAAATACTATATCCTGAATTAAGGTCATGTATGTATAATACCAAACATATACTATATATAGTTTTAAATTAGAGAGGCAAAGGTTTAAAAATAATATCAGGAAGTGTTACTTCACTGAGAGGGCAGTGGATGCATGGAATTGCCTTCCAGCTTAAGTGGTAGAGGTTAACACAGTGAAGGGGTTTAAGCATGTGTGGGATAGGCATGAGGCTATCATAACTATAAGATAAGGCCAGGGACTAATGAAAGTATTTAGAAAATTGGGCAGACTAGATTGGCCAACTGGTTCTTATCTGCCGTCACATTCTAAGCAGGGGCGGACTGACCGGTCGGGCACTTCGGACACGGTCCGAGGGCCCGGCCGGGAGGGGGGCCCGCCGCCAGGGCCGCCTTCAGGGGGCCCGGCGGCAGGGCTGGATTGGGGTGCAGGTGCCACCGGGTGGCCAGTCCGGTGGCACACTGTGAGGGAGGGGCGGCCGTTTCATGTTAGAGCCGCCGGACCGGGTGGCAGCCTCGCCGGTCCGGCGGCATTCCTCTCAATAACACTGAAGAGGAAGGAGGAGCATGTGTCTGTCATGCTCCCTGCGGTTCCCACAATTCCCAGCACAGGATGTGGGAACCGCAAAGGAGCCTGATAGACCCATGCTCCTCCTCCTCCTCCTCCTGTGTTAGTCAGAGGAATGCCGCCGGACCGGCGAGGCTGCCACCCGGCCCGGCGGCTCTAAAATGAAACGGCCGGCCCCCTCTGACTAGTAAGAGGGGGGAGAGATGGGGAGGGGGGAGAGAAAGAGGGGGGACATAGAGATGGGAAAGGGGGAGAAAGAGGGGGGAACAGAGAGATGGGGAGGGGAGAAAGGGGGGACAATAAAGAGATGGGGAGAAAGAGAGGGAAGAATGAGACACAGGGGGAGACAGAGACAGAGAGGGAAGAATGAGACACGGGGAGAAAGAGGGGGAATAGAGAGATGGGGAGGGGGGAGAAAGAGAGGGAAGAATGAGACACAGGGGGAATAGAGAGATGGGGAGGGGGGAGACAGAGAGGGAAGAATGAGACACAGGGAGAAAGAGGGGGAATAGAGAGATGGGGAGGGGGAGAAAGAGACAGAGAGGGAAGAATGAGACACGAGGAATAGAGAGATGGGGAGGGGGAGAAAGAGACAGAGAGGGAAGAATGAGACACGGGGAATAGAGAGATGGGGAGACAGAGAGGGAAGAATGAGACACGGGGAGAAAGAGGGGGAATAGAGAGATGGGGAGGGGGGAGAAAGAGAGGGAAGAATGCCCCCCCTCCCCTGTCCGCAGGCACCGTGCGGGCAGGGGAGGAAGAGAGGACCTGGGAGCTCACCCTGCAGCTCCTCTGGGTCCTTCTTGCGCGAGCACAGAGCGTTGCCGCGGTTACCATGGCAACGTTACTGCTCTTGCGAGAGTCAACTCTAGCCCTGGAGCTACGGGCTAGAGTTCACTCTCAACACTGTAACCCCCATGGATTCCTGGTGGTCGCAGTGGTGAGAGTGAACTCTAGCCCCATAAACACACTGCCCCCACACACACACATACACATTCACACACTGCCCCCATACACACCATACACATTTACACACATTGCCTCACACACACACACATACACTGCCCACCCATATACACACAGCCCCCCATACTAACATTGCCACACACATACACTGCCCACACACTCTACACATTCACACACTACACCCCCACACACACACTGAACCTTTCACACACATTGCACCACTGCTCCTATTCCCTACTACAGCCTCATATCCCAGCAGACCCCAGGTAAGTTGTCAAACTGTTCTTAAACGGTTTGACTACTTACTCTGGAGCAGTAGTGGTTATTGTGCATGGATTATTTCTTTAAATAATCTACAAGTGCCCCAGTAGCCAGCCAGCCAACCCACAGGCTGGCCAGTAGCCAGCCAGTTAGCCAGCCCACAGGCCAGTAGCCAGCCCACAGGCCTACAGCAAGCCACAGGCTTACAGCCAGCAAGCCATTACAGCCAGCAAGCCACAGCCTGCCAGCCGCAGTCAGCAAGCCCACAGCCTGCCGGCAGTAGCCAGCAAGCCCACAGCCTGCCAGCCGCAGCCAGCAAGCCCACAGACTGCCAGCCAGCAACAGTAATTAAGGTAAGAGGAGCCAACTTGGCTTAGGTATCAGCGAGCTATGTTGTGTTGCTATATTGTGAATAGGAACCAGAGTGTTGGAGAGACCACCCTCCAGGCCCCATTAGACTCTAGCCTCTGCTAGAAATCCCCTCCATGGCCCATTAGCCCTCAATTGTAGTTTCTACTGGGGCCTGGAGGCGACTGTTTCCAGCAGGGGATATCTAATGGACGCTGAGATGGCCTCTGTTAGAAAGACCCCCTTCCAAGCCTTTTAGACTCCATTGTAGTCTCTAATGGGGCTTGGAGGGGATTCTTTCTAACACACTCTCTAAAGGACACTGAGATAGCCTCCGCTAGAAAGACCCCCCTCCATGGCCCATTAGCCCTCAATTGTAGTCTCTACTGGGGCCTCGAAGGGCTTATTGCCCTTTTGTTCCTTGTGTCTAAAGATTGTGTAGGGTGTGGCTGGAGGCGGTGCATGGAGGCGGGACAAGGGTGGCGCTTGCTGCAGAGTATGGGTGGGGCCTGTAAGGGGGCCCTTGATTTATTTTGCCCGGGGGCCCTGAGGGTTCTCAGTCCGCCCCTGATTCTAAGTTTCTATATAGCCGAATGTGAATTTTACTATGAGGGCTGAATAAATGCCCAATACCCGACATGCTATATGGCCGAATATGCACTATGCCCAACATGCTATAAGGCTGAATAAGAACCATGTATTATATCTAAATTAATAGTATAACGTGGCTGAGTTTGCAACTCTGAACCAAACAAACTGTAAGCCTTATTGAGGGTTAACTCGTATTTACGGGAACTTGATGTAGTGTGGCCCAATGATGGCCAGTTGTAACATACGAATCTTGGAGTAAACAGAATAATCGTTAAAGCCATGTAATGCCCAATATTAACAGATAATACATATAATTGCCGAATGCATTATTAATAAAACATACTACAAGGTTGAATGCGGCGCGGCCAAATACCAAATAACCTGATGAATATTCCCATTACTCTAAAATTGTACAAAATCTGACATACTATATGGCAGAATGTGGCAACATAGGCACAGAACATAACATACCACATATCATGCAAAATAACTAATTAACATTAAATAGAATGTAATTGCAATAACTAATAATACTGAATGAGAAATGCCCCATTTTTTTATTCTACCTATAGTTCCTATAATTATAAAATCTTGCCAAACAAGGGCTGAAAACAACTGAGACCTTAATGTTAGTCCGGATGAGAGTTAATATAAAACCCATAAACTGGCGGAATGTATGACAATAATGCAGCCAAATGCCAATACTATAACAGGGCCAAACTTAAATATGTACCACACTTGGGTTGGTTAAGAATTGGGCAAATGGCCCAAACGGACTCCATGAGTGCGCAGCTGAAGCCTCATATAACTGTGAAATGGCTGAATGCTACCGTGCTCAGTAGAAAAGGGCAGAAGGAATGTCGAACTCGAGTTTGTGCAACACATGGATTGGCTGAGCAGCCGAACGTC